CCGCCGGCCTCGCCGGCCTCCTCTCCTCGCTCTTCGGCGGCCTGTCGCTGGCCGCCGCCATCCGGGAGGCGCTGTCCCGGCTCGTCGCCCCCCTCGCCGTCTTCTACGAGCAGAGCGCCAAGTAAGCCCACCCCCGCGCGAGGAGGCTGGGAGCGGGGAAGAACAGTTTTCTCTTGCCCTTTTTTGTGTTGTCGTTTTGCTTTGCTTAAGCCAGGGTTCTAGTATTTTGCTGCTTTATTTATTTGTTTGTTTTCCTTTTATTAATTTAATTTAGGACTCAAAATGATGTGCCAAAGTTTTATTCCAGCCTTGGACTTAAGGTCAGTGTTTCATACTATTGTTGATTTATTGCTTCCTGTCAGTCAAATGAACAGTTTTATGTAAAATAAAACTGGATCATTTTTAATTGTTTATTTTGAAAGATTTGTAACATTTATCCTACTTGAAATGTGCGTTGTATTAAAATCTAAAATGTCTGAAAACTTGCCGTGTGTCTTGATACTATTTGAAATGCGTCTTTATTCAAGATGGGCTCTAAAAGTGATATCGATTAATCTTTCCTCTGCTTTCTTATAAAGCTCGAGAAGCTGCTGGGAGAGATTCTGACCTGCTTGCAGACTCGCTACACCATGGCTTATGACGATGAACTTCTGGCACAGCTGGCTCCCTGGTTAAGTGTTGTGTTCCTTCACAAAAGCAAACAGGTGCGCAACCAGGTAGCCCAGTTCTGGAATTCCACGTTTGCCAAGGTGCCCACGTTGCAGTATCCTCAGCAGCTCAGGTACGTGCTGACGCCTATGACACCTGTTCTGACCGATAGGGGATTCATGAAGGGTGAAACTATAAAGCTTATGATGTCTCGCACACAGTGCTGGATTTCCCATTAAGCACTGTAGGCACAGTGTCTAGGGCCTACAAAGGCGGGAAACGCTAGTGACCCACAAAAAACGAGCCGAAACAACATGCTTGCGATCGGCTCTCGGTGCTCCAGATCAATAATCATACGCTATGTAGCGGCTGTTCTAGACACTGGAAATATCGAAGTGATGGTTGCTCGACTCGCTCCATCAATCTCGTGGTTTAGCATTAGAATAGTTTAAAGTGCATCTTGTCAATCGATGTCATTCGATTGGTGTTCACCCCTCTTTTTGCACATTTTGGAGTGAAAGTGCCCAGGGCCTGCGAACTCCAGAACCCAGACTCCTGCTCGTGCATGAAAGAACGTGAGGTTTTGCTTGGAAATCTAATATGCCCTGTTCAAATACATGGGGCTTTCTCTGTAGCTCTTACTGCTGTATGAATAGTTTTTTATCTATGGAGTGCTCTTTCTTGTGTCCTGTCTGTACAGTCCTGTGAAGCAGGTTATTTAATTTTTCTCATCAGGATGTTGGCAGCAAAATGCCTATAATGAAAACTGAGTCTATTTTATCATAATACTGCAGTCCCAACCTCTCTGTTTGTTACTTGCAGGAGTGTTCTGAGCCAGGTAAAGCAAAAGATTCCCATTATTCTTCCTGGTTTTGAAGCCGTGGAAGTAGATGATGAATTCAGCACACAGGATTCCGATTCTGTAAGTCTCTCCATTTGAAAATGTTCACTCTTATTGAAAATTACCTGAGTAAATATTTATTAAACTAGTTTGTCGATGAGCACCCATCAAAAGAAACCTAAATTAAAGCAATTAAGATGCTACTTGAGGGTTGGAAATGCTTTTGCAGCCTTCGTGTTCCGTGACGCCTCATGAGAATCTAAATGACTTGGAGTTGGATGCGCACTTTGCCACTTGAGGTTCATTTCAGTTTGCAAGGGAAAGCTCAGTGCGTGACGATGTCTTCTGCTGGTGTCTTCGCAGAGTTCCCAGCTGGACACAAAAATCAGTGGCATGGAAGTAAAAACTGCGGGCAAGAGGGACTCGATGCTCACAAGAGCAGCTGACCTGAAGGAGAGTGCTGCCCCGTCACCGAAACCCGTGGCTGTAGGATGACCTTTTTTTAACATTCTTTTTACTTACTGTTTAAGCAAGACTTGCGCACTTGAGTATAACTGAAGCATATAAGCAACAGAATAGGATTCCTGTTATAGGAGAAAAGGTTCTTAGTCTACCCTGCCTGAAGTTGTACCAGAAGCATTAGGAAATTGTAAATCTATATCCAACTTCATATAGGATCGGATTTGATTTACAGGTGAAGCTGGATTTTGGATCTCCCAAGATCCCCCGTAGAGAGTTCCTACTGGAAGAGGAGAAGTCGGTGGATTTTGTGTTTATACCCCCTGAGCCCAAGGAACGGGTGCTGACGGAACACCAGAAGGAGGTTCTGAGGACAAAAAGGTTCGGACACCTCCACGTGTCTTGGGTGGTTTCCTGTGGAGGGCAGGGAATTGACTTGATTACACCCAACAGCTGACGTGTGTGTGTGTGTGTGTGTGTGTGTCATATGTTTGAGTTTTAAAAACCTAGAAGTAAAAGGAACAGTGGTAAATGCTGAAATGTGTCCTTTAGTCATTTTCGAATGGTTTGTGGACGTTTGTTTCAGTTTCCACTGGAGAAAGGTACCCGTATTGCAAAATCTAGGTGTAATAAGCAAATCGCACTGTTGTGCATTTAAAAATGTTGTTCTGTTAAATTGAGATCCGTTCTTAATTTAATCCAAATTTAGTTAGAGAGACACAGTATCGGTTCCAGGCGATACCAATATTTAAACTTATTAAAAAATAATTCATTGAGATTAAACAGGGTATTTCTGTTATGTTTTTAACAGAGTTGATATTCCAGTCATGTACAACAATCTTGATGCCTCTCAAGATACGACATTGTTCTCTCAGTACAGTCAGAGCCAAGAGGATTCAGTGTAAGTGAAGTTTTACGGTAACCCGGTTGATTTCTTTTCCCAATATCATCATCTTTACTGATCTTTTTTTTTATTAAAAGGGATAATAAGACTACTAATGAGAAGGCTGAAGATGCTCCAGGACAGGAGGTGAATTGTGAGGTAATCTATATTTTGACTTTGTGTCATTCAGTAATGTTTTTATATTTAAACAAATACCTCTGGTAATATAGTTTACTCAGCTCACATTTCACTTTCAAGCTCAGTTTCAAATTGGTTTCAAATTTGCAGTGAGCTACATCCAAACATTTTACTGCTTAAGGGAATTATGGGGAATACGATCTTTGATTGAAGTCAGATGTGCTTTTCGATAACATTATGCAGTTGTTTTCCAATACTTGTAGCGATGCATGACATTTCTGCAGTCATCTTTGAATGTCTTCTAACCCCCCAAACTCCACAAAAGCAATGCATTCTGCTGCACCAGGGAATGGCTAGTCATTGCGTACTGGATGATTCTGTGCCGTTCCATGCCCTGAAGGATTACGAAAATATTTGTCTGTTGCCTTTCTTCAAAGGGATTTATGTTTTAGCAGAGTGTATCTGGAATCTGAACCCATAGACTTCCTGTTGTGTGTCCTGGGCCCTGCCCTGCCCTTACAGCTGCACCCCACTGCTGCTGACGTCGTAGCTCTCATTTTAGAGTCTGAAATTGTACATTGTAACAAGCTGTTACATTTATAAAAAAAAAATTTGGTCTTGTAAAACCACGAGTCACCTGTTTTTAATTTTTTTTTTTAAGGTTCAGGAGGAAAAAATGGAAGCTGAAGAAGTCCCTGCCGTGCACAAATTGGGCCCAGAGGTAGATAAGGACGACAGCAGTGTGCCTGCTGAAATGGGAACGGCTGAAGAGGAAGCAGCTGAAAAAGGTTCCCAGTCTGATGTGGGACCATCAAAATCGGCAGCCCTTACACTGGGGGGTAAAGCCACAGGGGAGGAGAGCGCCGTGGAGACAGAGGAGACCAGCGCCAACATCAGCAGCAGCTCAGTCTCTTCTGAAATTGTGTTGGCGACACCCCAAAAAAACGCAAGCCGTCGCCAATCATTCATTACGCTGGAGAAGTATAATTCACAAGGAAAGGCATCCAGTCCTGCTCAGGATGGCACTTACACAGGCTCGCCGGTTTCTGGGGTCTCGAAGTCTGACAGCCAGGAGGACACAGAGACTCAAACGGAAGACCAGACCCCAGAGCAAAGCCCCTGTCCCGATGTGGAAGAGGAAGCTTCTCTAGAAGAAAACGGCAGCCAACGTCAGGATTGCTCGAAACGCGAGAAAGCACAGGACGTGGCGGAGAAGGAGGAAGAGAAGCCTGAAGCAGAGCATCCTGGAATCAGTCCCAGCGTGGCTACCGAGGAGGAGGAGGATGAAGACGAGTGTATTCCCGATACGCAGACTGAGCCGCTCAGATCAGATGGGGCGAGTTCGGTGGCTGAAGAGGTACGTTCAGGCAGCGAAGAAGATGCAAAAGATGAAGCTCCTTCTGCAGAGTCCAAGGAGAACACCCCTCCCACGGAGGATTCTGAGGAGCAGCAGGTAGAGACCCAGTCATCTCAGACCCTGTCCAGCCCGAGCGAGCCCAGGCGCTCTTCGAGACGTCGAAGTAAGCCTGTACGCCCCGGGGAAACCTCAGAAAGCCCAGAGAGAGACGGCAAAGACAAACTGAACAAGAGGAACTTGAAGGGTAAGGAAAGCAAGTCCCTTGAAAGAAAATCTGCCGAGGTTCTGGTAGGTCGAAGTGAGGAGCAGAAGGGCTCCTCGTCCGTTTCCAGTCAAATGGAAACTCGGTCGCAGGTTCACACTGCCAAGAAGAGTAAGGCAACTCCAGAAGGGGAGGAGAGGGTGAGGAGGAGAACCAACTCAAGCGCTGTGGCGGAGGCTGAAGCCTCGCAAGGGGGCGAAGCAGAGGATGGGACTCAAGAGTCTTCCCAGGGACGGGGCAGGTACAGGACGAGGAGATCCTCCCAGGGCCTGCTGTCCAGTATTGAGAACTCCGAGTCGGACGGTTCAGAGAGTCGGGAAGAAAGCCTTAAAGACCGAAAGACCTCAAAAAGAGGCAAGCCTAGCAAACGTGTAGACGCTCAAGTGACGGAGGGCCCACCCAAAAACGAACAAACGGGAAGAGGTTCGGTGGAATCTGAAAAAATGGACATTGGCAGCGAATTGGAAAAACAGAACACAAGTCTCTTACAAGCCTCTGGTCCAGAGATTTCTACCGACACCAGCATGGCTTGTGAGACTTCAACCCAGGCTGAGCCGGAGGAGATTTCCGAAGAACAGGCTCATAAAACGGATGATGTAACGGCGGCTCTCGATGCCGAAACATCGGCGAAGGCTTCCGGTTCGGAAAACGACGCTTCCTTAAGAGATGAAAGCCAGAGTGCAAAGACCCCGGTAGAGAATTGTTCTGCCGAGCCCCCGAGTGCCTCTCAAAGCGCAGGGAGGCGCCCGCTCCTGCACGTGTGCTCTCATGGCAAGCGAGCCCGGGGGCGCAAGCGGTTCAAGAGCTGCAACTGCCGGATAGTGGCGGCCCTGCGGCAGGGGCATGCACGGAAGTTAGGCAAGGAAGAGCCAGAACTGGCTGAAAAGAATAAGACTTTTTCGGCGGGCGATGAGCTTATTTCTGAAAACGGGGCCTCAAATCTTGATGGCGCGCCCCGCGGGGAAGGCGTTTTAAGCTCCGATAATAGCGTGTTTGAGCCCAGTGACGTGAGTTCCCCGCTGTGCTCTAATGGTCCGGTGTTATGCGCGACATCCACGGGTGACCTGAATCCGGCGGGTGAATCGGAAGAGAAGTCGGACAGGGTCGCGCCGGAGGGGTTGAAGGAACAAGAGAGCGTGGAATCCTCGGTCCCTGGAAATGAAAGCTCTGTGGAGCCGGCTGAACGCCAAGGTGTAGAAGTGGATGACGAGGCCAAGCCAGACAGTATAGAAACCCTAGTGGAAGAAGTCTCTGGCAAGCAGGGGGACAAAGAGCGCCCAGATTTCCAGCAGACTGAACAGATGCCGGAAGAGCCGGAGCTCTCCGTGTGTGAAGATGGTGGTGTGGGTCCCGAGGATCAGAAGAAACTAGAAGAGGAAGGGGAGGAAATGATGGAGTCTAACTGCATTGAAGCTGCTGAAGTCCCTCTAAACAATGCTACTGTTGACGAGGGACTAATTGAACTGTTCTCCGTGTCTAAGCAGACTTTGGAAACCACATGTTTAGATTCCCCACCCAAGCAGAAGGATTGTAACACTGCTGTTGCAGAACATGAGGTGGGTCAGAGCCCCACCAGTGCAAAGCCGCGTGGCTTTTGGTCTCCTACTGCGTCTCCTTCCACAAGTATCCTCAAGAAAGGGCAGAAGAGGACCCTGGAAGATGATACTCCCTCCCCACTCCACAAGGTAATGTCAGCATCCATCTGATTTACAAAAAAAGAGGTGCTGTTGGTGTCCTCTTAGTTTCAGAGGTGCTTTAATAGCAAATTTGTTCGATCATTGGAGAACTTGGAGAGCGGTAGAGGATGTTTAAGTCCTGTGAATAGCTGTCGAGCTTCGGGCGGTACTCTAAACCGCTGTGTCTTTGTGGCTGCAGACTCGGCGCGTGTCTTTTGCCAACCCAATTCATCAGCAAGAGCTGGCTGATGATATCGATCGACGTAGCCCGGTCATCAGGACGTCGAGCAGCTCCCCACGGTCCAGAAACAGCACTTCCTCCGCGTTATCATCTGCCACACAGCAAAAGGTACCCAGAATTAACTTGGATACTTGATTAGTGGGGGGGATTTGTATAATGGGTGAAGTAATCATGTATTTTCCAATTAATATCAAGTGGTTCTGTGATGACAGGACGTTTAATTGGTGCAACAATCTTGTACTTGTTTGGCTGCAGCTTAAAGCGTTGTCATCTTCTTGCTGTTGCAGTTTGTGACTACTCCAACAAAGGCTCTATTGAGCCTGAGCCCCCGCAGCCTTCATAGTCCAGGATTCAAGAGCTCGAAGAAGTGCCTGGTATGTGATGCAAGAGCTTTAACATCACTGGTTAACTGCTCGCAAGTCAGTGTGTTTCTCTGTTTCTCCTAGAAAGCTCCAGCTCTGTTCGTTAGGAAATGTGAATCCAGTTGAAATATCTAGATAATGCTGACGAAAGGGCAGTGTATTACTATTAACTGGATTTTGGTGTGCCACCTGCTTTTAAACTAAACAATACAACCACTTTAGCACTTGGAACATTGATTAGAATTTTTGAACTGGGAGATGTTGTTGATGTTGTTGTTTCAAGTATTGTGACAACATAGAAAAGTATGCATTTAAAAGAAATGAATCTTGGTACTTTTACAAGGCAACAATCGAACTTTTAGAAAACATTTGGAAAGCTCTAAGCTTTAGAGCAACTTTTGCATGCCTGTTTTTCTACACAGATTTTGGACTGAACATTTTGATCATTTTGGTCGACCTTGTTGCAATGAACTAACTTCGTCAAGAACTCAGTCGCTTCATTAGTGAGAGTTGCTTGGGCACAGGTGAAAATCAAGAAAAACACAAACCAATATGCCGTGCCTGTTCTGTATATTGGAGCAACAGCTCAGGAGAGCCCGAATGTAATAAAGACGAATGTTTTGCCTGTTGTGCGCTTCAGACTAATTGATGGGGAGCTCCAAGTGGGTGGTGTTGGCTGGAGAGCTTAGTCCCAACTCCACTTGTAGAGATTGACTGCAAGGTGTAGCGATGATCTGCTCCGTGGTCCTGCCTGCTGATCCGTTTTCAGACTCGTCCTCACATGACAGCATTGCAGCAAGCAGCGCATGTCCTTAACCCGCCTGTGTCGGGGTTTTTCTTGCTCAATGTGAACGTGACCGTTAATGTGGATGTCCTGCTTGTCGCTCTTGAACTGAGGTTGAATATTTGTTTAAACTGGGACAGTGTATTACTTTTAGGGCTGAAAAGGCAGTGAAATGCCAGGATCTCTTGAGAGGGATGGAGCAGAATCCCTCTTTCTGTGGTATGAAGCCCATTCAATTCCCTGCCTTTGGCATCTTTGTTCCAGATATCGGAAATGGGAAAGGAGCCGAAGCCCATCCCCAAGGACTGCGTCTTTCCGGCTTTAGTCAGCTGTACAGCACCAGTGGAGGCCGTCCTTCCACAGCTTACTTCTAATATGTGGTGAGTGAAGTGTTAATGTATGTTAACATGAGCCTGTTTCATCTGTGTTGAAGACTTATTCCGGCCTTCATCCCTTCTCACTGATGAGCTTCTTCAGCTTCTCAGAAAATGCTTCTGCAGCCCTGTGATCAGCTAATGCCTCTTTCCCTGTCAACATGTTACGGAGAGAATAGCACTTCTCGAAATTGCATTTATTTAATTCTTTTCATCTGTGATAACGGCAAAAGTGAAATGACATCAAGCAGATAACGCTTCCAAATAAATGTTATTTGTCCCCTTATTTAGTAAGAGCTAAACACGGGGTTATTCCGTTAGCGCTTATTATAAGCTGCAGGGTTATTCACAACTGTAAACGTTCACGAGGGTCTTACACAACACCCTCATGAATATTGGACCGTGCTGTTCTGCCTAGCAAAAGAACGCATGCAGCTAAGCATACACATTTTAACCTTTTTCGAAATGCATGGAAATAAAATTGCATGGTCTTGTGAATAATTGCTCAGACATTGCATGATTGTTGAGTTTAATGTGCAGCACATGTGGTTATGTACGCTTCACCCAACTGCAGTTGCTTACAACTGAAATTAATTTACAGATTACAGTGTATGAATACAGTCCAAAACATTGCCTCTACTGTTGAGTCCCAACAGATCGTGTTGTAGGAAATTGGAATGTAGACTTTGCAAATTTGTATGTTGTGCAACCTACAAAAGTAGTCTTACAGTCTTGTACTGTTCAACTAATAAAACCTGCCTGGAATATTGTTGTGCGCAAGTTTTGATTTGTAACTTAAAAATCTAAAATGTATAATAAGCCTGTTCGGTAGATCAGTGTGAGCAGCTGGTTGTGTTTATGACAATCTTGTTGTGCTACTTTTTTTTTATTAATTGTGGAAGTCTCCTAGTGTGAGAAAAGCAGGGCCTTTTATTGATTGCTTAATTTTTCATCTTCAGGCAGCGTGGATTTGGTCAGCTCGTTCGAGCGAAGAATATCAAGACAGTGGGTGATTTAAGTGCTCTCACACCTTCAGAAATCAAATCGCTCCCTATACGCTCACCAAAGCTGTCCAATGTGAAGAAAGCACTTAAAATGTATCACGAGCAACAGGTAGGACACCACAAATACCCAACTAACTGGGTATGCATTAATAAAATCAAATGGATAAGCAATAAAGCATCACTCTATATGAAAAATGCAAAACTTAAGCATTCCTAGATTGATATTCCATGGGGTCTGGTATTATTTTCATGTATTTATTGTGTAGCTTTTTGTGGACTGTTAACATTTACGTGGGTAGCTGCATCAGCATGCACAGGCTGCAAAGGAAGGAGTAAAAGAGCAGAAAGAAAACACAATGTTCCTTCTTCTTCACAGCCGAAACAGTGTGTTTTCTTTGTTCTCTTTTCAGCTATTAACATTTAGCCCTGGAATGAAGACTTGGGATGTTTTTTTTTATTTAAAAGATTAATGATCTTAAGATGCTAAACTACTAATTATAAACACTCAGAATCTTTGAGGAAGTTGCTTGTACTGTCTTCCAGTTCCAAGCACTGGAAAAGAATAGCTTTGTTCAAGGCTTCATCTTGGGCTTATTGATATTTTATCGTCGCAGTGGACAGGAAAACTACTAGGAAGTGTGCGCAGTTGTAAATTGCTGTTTATGCTTGGGCATGATTAACTTTTCTTTTTGTTTGGAGCGAAAGGTAAGCAGTGATGATCTGAAAGGCTTTGATGAAACTGAGAAAATGACCTCTGAACCAGAAGAGAAAGAGGCTCCGGTCAGTAGTGAGGAGAAGACTGCAACAGGTGAGCTCTTCCTTGGCACTGAAGCAAATGAGCTCTCGCACGCGAGCTGCAGGGAAAACTCCTGCTCTTGGTCTTGGCAGAGGCAGACAGCAATGAAAACTTTTATAGTGAGATGCTTATTTGTGCAGTCCTAAAAGGGGACAAAACTTTGGCTTAAAATTTGATTAACAAAAGTTTTTTTGGCGTTCCCTGCAACTAAAATGTTTGGATACACATTTATTGGCGTGAAAGTCATACATTTGCTGCAGTATACAAGTCTGTGTCAAGCTACATGTTAATCGATTCTCTTAATTCTCTCAAGATGTGGCTGGAGTACCGGTTCCAGCTGTTGATGCAAAGCCAGTGGACATCATGACTGCGGTCCAAGCTCTAGGAACGCGCCTGACTGAGGAGGAGCTGGGCAGCCTGCCGGCGCGCCAGCTGGTCCTGATGCATGAACAGTTGAGTGACATGATGAAGACCATTGTTGTGCAGCTGCAGTCACGAGTCGGCACTCCACTAGGGCAGAGCTCTCCCTGACAGGAGGACCGCTTCTGCGAGGGACAGTTATTTTTTTAACTTTTAATATGGTAGATGTTTTTGTTAATATTTCCTCAAATTGACCAGAGTAATCCATATCTACCCGAAGAACTGTTGTTATAAATAAATACCTTTTGGCAATACTCTAGTCTGCAATTTTACTGTACCTGCACTGGGGTGATAGTTAACCTTGTGAGTTAATGTCCCTCTTGTATCCACATCATATAAAGCATCTTACTTGAGTGATGGAAGCATCGCCCTTGGAGGACATCTCGATGAAATAAGCTCATGGAGAGAGAATCCTGCAGCGCACACATTGTGCACACATTGCGTGTGGCTGCATCTTATAGTTGTTGAATTCAGATTTTAGTTCTAACAAACAGCAGATGGCTTCTGCTTTTTTTATAAGACTGTACATGATTGTTTATGAAATAAAAGAGTCCTTTCCTACTAGCCAATGAGAAAGCAAGCTGTTTCCTTGCACTGAGAGTGTTGGTCATGTCTAGTTAAACTGTATTTTGATTCAGTGACTTTGGTTCATTTTTTTTTCCCATTTATTTTTTCACTGACATTCCTGCCACTCTTTGGAGGCCTTGGGTACAAACTATGGCTACCATTTCTCAGAATTTTAGCATTAAACCTAATTCGTATTTGAAGAGCATGTTTAATAATTCTGTTTTGATTTTCAGAACATTGCTGGGAGCTCTGTACATTGCTGCAGATCTATACATTAACAAGAAAGACTCAGTCCTGGAATACTGCAGAAACATGGTGTGCTTTATTAGCTACTCTGTAACAAGGTACATAGCTTCATGACCTTCCAGAGCTAGATAATTAGAAGGAACAAAACACACATGCACTAATGGCCATCCTTCAGCAAACAGGACAGGAGAGGCTTTGCTCTTTTAACACTTCATCTGGTTTGAAATCGAAGCCCAGTATAATAGAAATTTAAATCAGACTTTTCTCCGAGATGTGACTTCTTTTGTTGGGAATAGGTGGCAGCAGCTAGCTTTTAAATCCCATGATGCTTCATTGAAATAATAAGTCGTAGTGGTTTCATGTGGTGGATTCTATTGATTTCAATTACTATTCCACACATTTTTAACACGATTCCTTTGAAAAAGTCTAGAAATGTCAGTGTACAACAGTGAGGCCTGCATCTTGAGCAGATCTCCAACGCTTGATTTTTTTTTTTCAGTTCACTTCTGGATTTTTTTAAAATAAGGTGTATACATTTCATTTAAAACAAAGACGAGGCTGTTACTGGTTTTTACAGTTCTCATGATCTAAGACAACATATGAGCTCTTTAGAAATATAGTACAATTCAGTCAGTATTTAAAGGTTGAGACCATTTTGTCCAGTAGGTATCATAAGTTACATCCACATGGGGGAAAGGCACCTGTAAGAATCTAGAATGCACATGGGCTAATCTGGTAACACTGGGGATAATACAGCATGCATGAGCCCTACCTGTTCTGCTAAGCTTAATGTTGAAGCCACACATTTAATGACAAGTTCTACATCTACAGAGGTGTCTAATGCTTCTCTATAAAGCTGCTGCATCTTTCCCTGTGTGGATGTGACTCATGCTCATAAGAATGTCTGTGTCGGGTTTAGATGGCGTCGACATAATTCGCTGGTAGCATGCCAGTCTTCCCGGTTCTCTGCACTGTACCATACATCCAGCCCTCATCAATGGACTGGACGTTCACAATGACATCGCCGTCCTTGAAGGAGACTTCGTCGCTGTCAGCCCCAGTGTAGTCATACATGGCCCGGACAGTTCTCTGCAGGAGAGAGAAATCTTGTCAAGTTATCAACAACCCAAGCGCAGCCATCTCATCGGCATGTTTGTACAGCCCCCATCGGAGATCATGATGGATTTGGCAGATCCAGGGGATGTTATTCAGTATTCCTGGAAAGGGGGCTTATGGAATGGCGGCTTTCCAATGCTTACAGCAACTTGACGATAGAGCAGTAAATTGAGCTAAGAAACTGAAAAGCAATAAAATGTCCTCTACAGAACGCTTGTCTTGAAATGCCTGGTTTGAAGATGAGGAGTGTTATATTTTCACACAGTATTGTGCAAATAATTACATGATACTGTGTGGAGTCGCCTTTTCATTTTAAATGTTTTTTTTTTAAATATTGTAAATGGTAACACAGAGCTGTGCTAAAGAGGATGTGGTGGTTTAGCTTGTTTGCAATTGAAGCGACACAGTGGAGTGGTGGTTAACCCTGCTGCCTCGCGGCACGAGGGCCCGGGTTCGATTTGCAACTGGGGAGTGTCCATGTTTTGTGTCTGCATGAATGTTTACCAGCTGTTTTGCTTTCCTTCCACATTTCCAGACACATGCTGGATGGGATAACCTGTCTCTCTTAATTGTCCCTGTGTGCATTTGCCCAGCGATGAGCTGGCCTTTCTCCCATTGCTGCTGGGACAGTCTCCACAATACTGCAGCCCTGCTTTAAACCATTTCTGCAAATAGTGGATGGATTGGAAGTGGAGGTGGAAATGGGTAACTTATTACACAAGATCGGAATGTACTTTGATCATTTTTTGAGTTAGGTGACAATTGGTTTTAAGCATGTAACTAAACCTCTGCTCTACAGCACCGTTACAATGGGAATGGGGTGGCACTCACGCCTGTGGTAGATGGATGAGAGGGAACGGAGGACACGGTTGTTTGCTGGGTGGCAACAGAGGAAGATCTCTGCTGAGGCAGCTCAGTGGTTTTGGCATGTTGGTAGCCTGCTAAGGGAAGTAAAGAAATGCGAATTAGCATTTATGGAAGTCTACAAATTCACCAATAATTACCAGTGAGAACGTAATGAAAGGTTGCAACTGAGAGGATTCTATTTGGCCCATTGGGGCGGATAAGTGTTGTCCAGGCTTCTTCTTGACAGATCCCAGGATTTGGGACTCAACCACCTGATTGGAAGGCCTATTCCAGATACAACATTGTGTTTGGAAGTGTTTCCTGAATGGATCCCTTTTATTAAGTTTCCATTTGTGACGGTGTTCCTTTTTACCGTTCAGTGAAATTGCATTTTGGGGATCATACACATTCTGCGAATGTGGGCCGTGTATGTGTTGTCGGTCTGTGATGTGAAGCGGCATGAGTCGGACGCCCCCCACGCTCACCCGATGAGGAGGCGTTGAAGAAGCCCCCGTTGCTGTACAGAGACAGGTGCTGCTCCGCGGCCTCCGAGGTCTCGGACTTCTCGTCCCCGGCGCTGAGGCTCAGGGCGCTGGCGGAGCGCGAGTGCTCCCGGCTGCGGCGCTGGGCTTGAACTGGGCGGCACATGAGCACGTTACTCGCGCCAGCCTTGCAGGGCGTGGTGTAGGCACCCGCGGTCACAGTACTCTACTTGCGGAACTGGAGGAACTGGATCCTAAAGCTTTTGACGGGATACTTCACAGAAGAACCGCTATCTCGGGGGTCCCTTTTTGGAGGTGGTGGTAGTAGAAAATAAGCTTCCCTAACCAGGAGTTGGTACGTCGAGAGCCAATGAGAAAGACTAGAATCACTATAGTACATTATAATGGCTACTGCTAGGGAAGGCATAGAACTAGTGTGAGCATGAGCGTCAGGGTAAGGTTTGGAGTAGGGGTAGAGCTAGTTTTAGGGATGGAGGTTTTATGAAATGCTAGCACGAGGGCTAGAACTAGAGCTAGGGTCAGGGGCAGTGTTGGGTTTAAACCTGGAGTTCGATCTGATTTGAGGGTTGGAACTGGCTCGAGGGTCGGGAAGAACCGCACACATTTCTAAAACTACGTTGGGGGGGGGGTTTCCTGAGCCCTGCCGCAGCTGCTTCAAAGAGAGTGACCAGACTTCTTACCGGACATCATGTGCAGGCTCCTGGACTGGATGTTGTCCTCCGCGGGATCATAGTCAAAGACCGATCCGGGATTCGTGCGCCACACCCGCAGATCTGCAGAAAATGGCAGAGGTGTAGTTTTGCAATCTGAAAACTTCAGAACCTGCACGGGCTCCGTTTCTTTCTTGTACTGTAGGAAGCATTGCGATTGCCTCAATTCTGCTTGACCAATAGCTCACTCAGCGTACTGTATTCCATCCCAGGAATCATGAAAATACAATGCTATTTGACAAGTAGGATGTCCATCAGAAGATCCCCAATATGTATATGTAACATTAATTAATTGTAATTGGAATAATGTTTTACAGGAAAAAGAAAATCATGTGTAAGGCTGTGGGCTTAGAACAGAGGTAAGACCGTGGTGGGCTGACCTGTGATGGTTTCCTGGTCATGTTCTGCCACTCTCCTCCTCTCCATCTCCACCACGCGTCTCTGGATTCCACGGTAGTTGATGTCGCTAAAGTCCTGCATGTTCTTCTTCACGCGCTCAGTGATGGGGTCAGTCACCACAGGAGTGAAGCTGCCTTTGCTCTTCTCAAACTCCTGGTGGTATCTCACCTGCACGGGCAACAGACAGCGGCAATATTTGTTGAGCTCCGATTTTTTAAAAAAAGGTGCGACCATACAGAAATTTCAATCAGCAGGATCAGCCCCTGGACAAGTTCTTTGCAATCCAGTTGGACCAGAATCCAAGAGAATAGCCGCCATATGTCCTTTACTGTAAGGCCAGTGGAAAACCACAATAACCCAAAGGCTATCTCAGAAGCACAGGGTACAGGGCAGAAAAGATAGCAGACAACTGCTCCTCCCGCTGTTGGGAAGCTGTTCCCTCCAACTCAGGCTGCTTACCCCTGATATGATACGCTGGGTCTCCTTGACTCGCCTCATCTCTGGTGTGTCCAAGACAAAGGCAGCCTTGCCCTGCACCTGCTTCCGGAAACTGTCAGAGTACAGCACCTGAGGAGCACAGAGGTCCTTTGAGAGACTGCAACACTGTTGCACATGTCCTCCCTCCCACCTTCATTGGTAAGTGTGCAATCTACAAGGGGGCTATGTCACAGGGACACACTGGCCACAAACCGGAGCTTAGTCGTTCAGAGGAACAGGTGGTGGTTTAGTGAATCGGATAATGGATTAGCAGGTCACATTTCAGACATCAGCATGGGGACAAAAAGGTGTTTGGAACGAAATGCGAGTTAGAATGATGTACTTGTAACAGCGAGAAATATTAAAAAATGGCAAAATCCTTTTGTTAAAAAAAATCAGGAGATACTAAAAAAGGAAAGAGTTAGCGTGTTATTCAAGGGGCTTTCTCCCCTCTAAAAAAAGACAAATGTTCTCAAGAAAATACCGAGCTAATGTGTTCTTGATTGCGTTTGACTCTCTCCATCTCTGGAGTGTAAGTCACTGGAGTTCCTGTGCTCAGATGCTCCTTGTACAACACCTACAGAACACATGGAGAGTCCCAGAGATGAAGTGAGACAATTGGCTGACACCCTTCCCTTTGCACAACCAACGACAGTTTCAGGACCCCTAAGGACGCTCCACAGCATACTGTAACACACCATTCCACCGAGGGATTACCCGTAGTGTGGGATATTAGTTGAATTTATGGTTATCCAAATTGAAAATGTTAAGCTTAATTGACCATAAAACAGTAAATAACTCTATTGGGAACATTAAAAAAAAAACCATTGTTAATACGGCAGCAATATCTTGTGGGTATTAGGAGAGAGTTAGGTACAGTGGCCATGAAAAGTCAAAGGCCAGTTTGCCTTCCGCTCATTCTCGGGAAAGGTTAAATTACACGGCTGCTTGTTAGGGTGGGTTTCCAGAACATCTGTAAGGGCTGCAGCAGACTGCGAGGGACTGTCCGCTCGGCGACTGCTGAACTAGACACGGCCGGACTCCAGGGTGGTAGGAAGAGGTTAATGGGTGTTGGGTACGGGGACAGAGAGGGAGCAGGATGCCGGGGGGGGTGGGGGTGGGTGTATCAAAATGTTGCCACTACCGAGCTGATGTTCTTCTGAGTGTCCTTGACTCGTTTCACCTCAGGGAGATCAGGGATTGCAGTTCCCGTCCCAACAGCTTCTTTGTACTTTATCTAGTCGGTCGGCACCACGGAGAACAGAAGGACATGCACAGTGAGCACACACAGCAATCCAGAACGGTCCCGCAGCACAGGCTGCGAGTAACACTGACGACCCGCAGGGGCACAGTACTGACGACATGAAGCACTTTCACAGCACAGAGGCCAAACAGCAGGAGACTGGGTTCAAATAAATAACCTATAGACTCTATTACAGGCTATAATACATTTTTTAAAATGATTTAGTATTGCTTTTACATACTTCTGGATGGGGTGGGTTTGCGAAATTAAACATTTGATAGTAGAGGATTGTGTTAGCATATAAAGTGTCACAGATTATTAAAATAAATTAAAAGTGATTTCTGCACTATGGAACAGGAACCATATGGGGAACTCTGTAACACAGGTAAGTCTAAAGGTAATTAGCATGAATCGGTTTTCCATGTGATCTTTGTGCAACACAGGAGGAAATGGGTGAAAGAGGATTTTGAATTAGAATATGGTTAAGGGTAACGGAACAGGAGAATGGTAATAGTACGAAATATACCGTGCTAATTGCCTGTTGATTTCGCTTAACTCTCTCCATCTCAGGGGTCTCTTTCATAGCAGTTCCGTGTCCCAAATCCTCTTTGTACAAAATCTTAGACATGCAGAGGCAAGACAGCAGAGTTAACAATATTTCACGAGGAACCCTTGACATTCAGATGCTTTGTGAAAGTTTATTTAAAAATAATTAGTTTTAGCTTAAATTGCTTGGTAAAGGGGTAGCCTCCTGGCCACAGGACAAGGAAGCTCAGAACCCCAAGTTAACCCCCTAAGACCCACCAGTGCAGAAACAGTGACAGAAGGGGTGTACAGGCACAGTATGGAGATCAAGGGGCCAAGATTGAGGAACCTGGGCCAAGATAGATGTCGGGTAGTAGGACGCCTACAACTGAGTCAAGCTGTAGGACGCCTGATGACTAAGCTGGGGGTAGAACGCTGTACAGACCAAGGATTGACACAATGGCATCAGGAACAGCAGGGGTCAAGAGAGAGGAACCCGGGGCCCTGCTGGGCACCAGGAATAGTGGGCGATAGGGGCTGGAGGAAAGGAAGGATTAAAAAGCTGTAGGATGCCCGCTGACTGAGCCAGAGGTAGGATGCCAGGCAGACCAGGTGCCGAATAGCTAGCAGCACGGGCAAAGAGGGAGGAACCTAGAGCCATGTTGGACACCGGGGACAGCGGAAGGAGAAAAAGAAGACATTGAAAAATGTGGGACACCTGCTGACTGAGCTGGAAGCAGGATGACGGACAGACCCAGGGCCGAGAGAAACAAGCAGGGGGACAAGGTTGGACAGAAGGTGCTGGTGGTGGCAGTAGGGGCACAGGAAGACGAAACAGCATTATGAGGAGTCGGAATTTTTAAACATTATACAGCTGTTTCCTTCCTTCTGTTAGGTTGTATTCTTCTATTCAATTGAATATATAGAATTATATTTCTTTGTGGGGTGTTTTTGTAACGTGGAGCATGATCCACATTTAAAATACAACGTGTGAAGTAACTGAGAAAAGTAGTTCTTCAGTTAAGAACTTCCATTAAAATCTGTCAGATTTAATCGCTTCCTCTCTGATTTAAAGGTCCATAATACAAACATCTTCCCTGTAAGGAGGTAACTTTGGTGGCATTTGGGAAAAAAAGTTTCAAAATAAAAATATTTTAGAGTCTAGGAAGTAAACTGCTGAAATCTCATAGACAATATTTAAATTAGTAACTCACAGGCAAACCACAAAATGTATATCACACAAAAACAAACTTACATAATGCAAAACATAAACATGATGCACACGTAAGACAGACAATTTTAATATGAAATGGTTTCTACAAAATCAGCTTTTTTATACACAGCTATCACCCAACAAAAAAGATATAAATAGTGAAAAAATAGTGTTTAGTGGTTTAGAAGGTTAACTGTCCTATTTTAAGCCCTAACCTGCATTATTTTTCAGGTACAGATGCCAAAGAGCGGTCTTTCACGTGACTAATCTTTTTATGACTAAAAAGCAGCAACTGTTAAATTGCAAAATGAAATATGAGTTAGCATGTTTCTACAAAATAGAAAAACCAAAAAAATGGTTTCAAGGGTTTCAAAAAAGGTTAGCAAACAAGAAGTGAATGAAAAGAAGATGCTTAATAAGTGAGCAGTACCGAGCTGAAATTCTTTTGATTTTCTTTAACGCGCAGCATTTCCGGAGTGTCTTTTACCACAGACACTTTTCCTTTACTGTTTTTTAGGTCAATCTGGTACTGTTGCTATAAGGAAAAGAGTAAAAATACAAAGTTAAAAAAAAAACTCAGAAAAGGAAAAAAAAATCCTTGGATTAAAGAATAATCGTGAATATAAATTAATAATAATGCGCAGACATTACTTCTTATACAGCCTTTTATTTCTTCCTGTATCCTTGGATTTCTTATATTACCAATGCCAGACAAAGACACAATAAACAGGTTGGTGAGCGACAGAGCACAACTGTTTCAAATAAAGTATTATACATAATACTTTGAAAAGGCTCAGCAAGGGACAAGGTCATTTTAACAGCCAGCGGAACAACTACAGTACATAATCTCAAGCAATACCAGCCGACAGCAATGTGCCTCCCACAGCAGTCACTTACAGTGCTGAAGTTTCTCTGGTTCTCACGGACTCTCTGCATTTCTGGAGTGTCTATGACCGGTACATAGTGAGACATGGTCTTCTCTGCCTCCTCTTTGTACTTTTTCTGTTGCAAGAAAATGCATATTTAAAAAAAAAACAAAAAAAAAACAAAACTACTACCACTATTTTAATAGTACTAAACAATTTTTATCCGCACCCCTTTGTATGGGTAAGTTGCTACTGGAAACACTCAACTGAAGTATCTTAAGCAAGCTGGGATTTAAACCCACAACCACCCCAGTATAAATCCAGAATCCCTACCTCTACTCCACACTACTACTGCTGGAGCTACAGTGTGTGACAACTGTAATTAAAATTCCATAAAATTAAATCCCTTAAGACACTGGATTCAGTAAGAATTTCATTTAATATAAAAAAACTACAAAGAGGGAGTTTATAGCAGGGATTTCCTTTCAATCTCTCACTAATCCTTCTTCTATTTTTTAAAAAACTATAGAACTCCATTCTTCAAATTCAAATACACATATCAGAAATCTCAGTCCCACACTTGTTTTTCTTTTTGTTTTTGCTAATATACTTGATTTAAGGCATGCTGTGAAAGATGTTATTATACTGTGATTTTGAATTGCACCTACCATTTTTTCAAAGGTACTCCCACTGTTTGGGAGTTTATCGGTGTGCCTGGACACAGCCCTTGCACTGGGATCCCAGTTCCACTCTTACCTGGCTCACAATGTTCTTGACCTGCTGAGCGTGGATTATCTCAGGGGTGTCGATAACAGTGGTGTAACTGGCTCGGTCCTGCTCTGCTGTGTGCTTGTACTTTGACTGTAAGAAACACGCAGTTTCAAGAGGCGGGGCAGAAGATCACCAACACGATTCAAAATCTGTTCGTTCTCGACACGTTTTTTTGCTTCCACAGATCCGTTATTTTGATATATTGTAAAAAGCTGAACTGTAGTCACTGAAGAAGCATGGATTGGTTTTGACATCGCAGGCCAGAGGGACTGACCTGACTCAGAATCTCGGTGGCGTTCTTTGCTCTCATGAAGTCAGGGGTGTCCGTAGCTAAAGCCAGCATTCCCTTTCCTTTGATCTCCTGCTCCAGGGACTTCTTGTATTCTCTCTGTGCAAAGCCAGAAGAAAGATTGTATTAACTTAACAAAACACCCAATAAGAATCAACATATCTCGACCTCAGAAGATATTAGTTTTCCTATGATTATGTGCAATATCTTAAATAATTTATTCTAAAACCTAGACTATGCAAAAAGAAATGAATCTCATGCTTTCCTCTACAACCATCTTTCACATTATCCATCTAGAGCAGGAATGTCCTCTAGTATGGAACCATTCTTGACTGTGACCTTATATTAGCACCTCCTCGAAAGTAAGACATGGATATATCCTTCTTAGCAAATTACAGCAGCTTTGTCCAGTTATTAAAAACTTTCACGAAGCATAAAACTGTTTTTTTTTTATTATCTCACAATCTGATGAAACCTTTATTTAGGCCCGAAGATGCAAAACAAAGTGAACGAGTCACATCATCTGCTACTGTTAAGCTCAAGATTAGGAGAACTCCTTGAAATCATTAGAAGGGTTAGGACATGTGCAGTACAGGAGCACAGAATTAAGATGCTGTAGGTGAAGGAAAAGGAGAAGAGCACAAGTCTGGTAGATGTCCATACAGAACTGGAAGACAAAAACACGTTTAGCAGACCTTAGAGACCTTTCCCATGTTAATAGGAGCAGAAAACGAAGGTGGATTCATGCTCACTGGTATTAGTTTGCTTAAAAGAGATAGACACTGAAGGGGTGCCCGGAGAATTAGTCTCGTTTAGAAGCTGAAGGAGATGGATTTGAAGAAGACGAAGGCAGCAGCTCCACCTAGAGTCCTACCTCATTCAGGATATGAGTAGCATTCTTTGCTCTCAACAGATCCGGAGTTTCCTCCAGCACTGTTAGCCCTTTACCCTTCACCCCCTCCTCTAGATCCCTCCTGTACTCTTTCTACAGGACGGAGAAGAACAGAGAGACTGCAGAAATACAACACAACAGCACGCACAGACATCTCTGCACATCCACGAAGCGCAAATTCGCAAAGCCCTCTTCAACAGCAAAACCCACTGCACATCACTATAGGCCTCTTGAAAAAGCCCATTCATTACGGGAAACACCCAATGTACTTTGATGAGCCTGAATGCCACATAAAAAGCTGAATATGAGAATACCAATCAGGGTGAAGAAAAGGGCTTTGAATTTGTCCTTTGGTCTGATAAGAAAATAAATATTTTATCACTTAGCCTTTTTCTGCTTTAAAAAAGACAAAATGCTGAAATATTTGGTACCAGACACTTTTCATTTGATACAGTATGTCATACAGTACAGCTGGCTTTTATTCAATAGAAGCCAAGAACATGGAATAAACAATACATACCATAATACAGACAGACAGATGGACAGAATAATGCATGGATAGGAGCATAGATAGAAACACAGACTGACAGAAAGATAAAACTACATGAGGTTACAGAAGCAATGAAGTTTTTAGGCAAGTTAATGATGGATTTAAGACATTCACAGATTCATTCCTTTAGTATTTAAAACTGGAGTTAATCAGTGGATGGCTTGACAATTAAGACACATTTAAAAGATGACCAGTTAACATTTTTACAGGCACACCCAACATACTGTAACAGTTCTAAAAACACAGGAATTAAAATTCTATGAAATGTTTGTGTGGTTTTTATAAAACTATCATAAAACTTTGCATGCTTGAGTGATAGACTACAGTTAATGAAAGGCAAAACTCTTCATTAGTGCCGTTATGGAGGTATGATCTTAGTCAAATTATGAGGGAAACAAATACAAAGTGTCGTCTCTGTTACCTCACTTGCTATTTTGGTTGCATGTCTGACATGTATTAATGCTGGTGTGACTTCCAAGCCTGACAGATTCCTGCCTTTAATGGACTCTTCAAAGTCCTTCTTATAGAGTTTCTATCAGTAGCAAAAAAAGAACAGGAAAAATACAACTGAAATCGTGGAGTGTGCATTACAACCTTTAGCGCTTCAAAGACAGACTACCTATTTCTTTGGAGGGGGAGGATCAATGCTTATACTTGGCATTGCAAGCATTTGAAGACACTTGGAAATAAACCAGCAAGAGTGGTACAGTAGTTATCAGAAAACAACCCTGTGTCATAAATGTTTCCTGCTGCACTGTCAATGTTGTGAAATGCTAGTATTGCCCAAGTTGCTCAGGCTCTGCCAGTTTTCAATGTACTAAACAGCATTACAAAAGTGTCACCACTCGATTTCCAGAAAACGTGGTCCAGCCAACATCACATTTACAAAACATCTGGCACAGTGCAGATGTTTTCTACAGTGAGAGAAAACAAAACAAGTTAACACACAGACATTTGCAGGAAAACAAGACCACAAGTACACTATAATTATAAAGTACAAAGTAAAAAAAAGTATGGCGGATATTCCAAATAAGGAGAACCCTTGTCTAATAAAATAAGTTCTTCATGAGGGTTTATCTCACAGCATTGTGACAATGGAAGGCTTACCTGATGTCCCCAGAGCAGCACAACAAAACCCTCTAAAGAACAGTCAGGGATATCAGAATGGTTATTAATTCAGCACACTCTGTGTGACCTCCCGTAACAAGGCAACAAGACAAGTGGGATCTGCACACATCTTATACCCGTCTGAATCCCCAGCAGAAAAAAAGAACAGTGTCATTTAAGAGGCGGCCGTGACGGGCAGCAGCTTCATTTCCTTACCCAAAGACCCAGGCTCTGCTTACCTCACTCTGCATGTGCTGAGCTTCCTTCGCCGTCACATAGGTGGGGGTTTCGAAGTCCAGCATGGGCTTGCCTCGTTCCCTCTCATACTTCTCCTTGTACTTCACCTGCAATCACAGCACGGGGTGGTTTAGAGTTTCCTCTCCCGACTCTCCACGAGCAGCTTCAGTCTCCTTCCAGAGCGGGCAGTGGGGAAGGTCTGGAGACGTGGCTCTCGGCGAAGTGCGCGGCGCAGGCCTGGCTTGGACCAATGCAATGCTAATTCTGGCTCTCAGAGGGAAGGTAGACGAGTTTAAAGAGCACGCGGCCTGAACCGCTGTTCTTGATCCTTTTGGATAATATATTTCTCTCTGCCACCTACTCATACTGCACTATCTACTCAGATCAGAGGCTCATTAATCGACAAAGTGTAATCTACAGTGTACTGTAAATGTTATTTGCTCATAAAATATAATTAACAATAATAACATTGACTATGATAGCATGTTAGACACAGGGCTAATTTCTATTCATATTTCTAAGGCTTAAATATTGATAAAAAATCGGTACAGAAACTAAGCACCTATGTCTTGGAACTTCAGACATTTTCTCATGTTTTTAGTTTTTTACTGTTTTCCTCAAAACCACTTAAAATTAGTCATGGCGCCGCCTTGGAAAGCAGAAATTACACCATTAAAAACACATGCTTACAGTTCTAGATATAATTCTGTTAGTAAACTCTAGATTTGACTGTAAAAAGAAACAATATCTAATTCAAAAATGAAACTATGTCAGATTTTTACAATTGTATCTGAATATGAGGTAAGTCAGTTTAGCATTTATTCTGTAAACTGTTATTAGGAATCGAAGATGATGTTGGGAGAATGTCAGCTGTTGAGAAAACTGAAGTGAGGATTTTCACCGACAATGAAACTTCATGATGTCAGGTGGACGCACCCTCTGAACAGCTTGACGTCCAGATATACTTACTTGACTTTGCAGTTCTGAAGCTTCCTTATGATGAATTTGTTCAGGTGTATCAGGAACCATGTGGTAGTGACCCTTACTCGCCTCAAATTTCTTCTTGTACTGGTACTGAGGGGGGAATTCCCAAAAAGCAGCTCAGTAAAATAGCTCAAAATCAGCTGTTCTGAGCTCTCTCTTACCCGTTCAAAAAGCAATGAAGACAATCATGAAAAAGAGTTTTGCCAAAAAAAAAAACAAGAAAAATAAGGACTTCTGTAATGAGCCCATCGGCTTATAAAGCTGAAATCCTATAAACCAAGGAGAACAAAAAGAAAGCTGCTCTACAGGACCTGTAGTCTAGAAAAGTTGAAGACGGGCTTTAAGTTTGAACTCCAAGAGTTCTCTTATAGCACAAATTAAATTATAAATTCAAACTACCTGTCAGTCATGGCCTACAAACCCGGTACTTCACCTGTAATCACAGCATGATTACAATGTGAAATAAAAGCACAACCGAGGTTTCCATAAGCAGGAAGACTCAGGGTGTGGCGTAAACAAAATGCCAGCTTGAACTACTGCACCACTATCCTGTGAGATTGGGAGGCCAGTTTAAAGTTTTGATTTAATCCAGCCCAGAGTAACCGTATTTCAAAATTCAGAAATGAAGTAATGATTGAGTTTACAGAATTCCTGGGCTCTGTCAATTTGGTCCAACAAAAAAAAAAAATAGAATATGATATTTCAAGAAAAAAAAACCCACAGAGACACAAGGGTAAGCAACAACAAAGCAATGTTCACCAAAAACAACAACAAAAGAAAATGCAAAAAAAGAAGAAGAGAAAGAAGGAGAGCACATCAGAAAGAAAAAGGGCTGTGGGATTGACAGAGTCAAAAAGAAGGGGGTTCATTCGTTAGTCTTTCAGGAGGCAAAGGAGAAAAAAAAAGAGCAAAAAAAAAAGAGTTAGAGAGCGGGAGCAGGTGGCAGGGAAGCCGCCACCGGTAAAACACAATGAGGGGAGAGAGGTTAAAAACTGCTGCAAGCGGACGGGGAGAATGGTGAAGGTCACTACCATATGATGCCCTGCAAGCATTAAGGCTATAGAGAGTACAATGTGAAACATAACCGGAGCTGTTATTTGGAGTGGGCGGGTTGAAAAGGATGCTGGGAGAGGGGAGGTGTTGATTAGTTAAAGTCTTACATCACTGGACAGCTTGCTGGTGCTCAGGTTGTGCTGCATGGACAGAGACTCCGACATGTCCGTGACAGGCTTGTGGATCTTCTTCAGATCTCCCTTGTATTTCACCTGGGGGCAGGCAGACAGCACCCATTGAAGTACACACAAGTAGCTTACAGCTCGTTCTAACAACAGGGCTCAGGTTCTGCCCGTCTGGCTGTTTTCAGGATATTTGCTTTTCGAAAAACATCAGAGGTATTTGATGAAACCAGAAACGAGGTTCAATATGGATATGCACCACGATGACAACTTCCTGACTCAAATAATGCTTACAGCCAGAGCGTAAAGACAAATCTTAATATGGAAAAATATGTTATCAAGTTTGCTCTTTCACCGCCAAACTACTTAATATAACATTTCAGAATAGGAGATACTGTACCTGTAAGACATTTGTTAGTTCTTTATGAATGATATACCGTACAATGCCTGTCATTGGTAACTGATAACACATACAGACAGTAATAAAGATTGTATTGGGCATTTGATATTATTCAAGAAGCTCCCTTTTAGTAAGAACCTCATAATACATGATGTTTGAGTGGGGAAAAGTAAGAACAGAAGAAATGCTATGTTTCTGCTGTTGATCCCCCTTCAGGTGTGAGCTAGTAATACAGCAGAGGCTTCACAGTACAGTGTGTCCTGTGCCAAACTGCCCTTTTCGTTTCAGTGTTAATGTTTTATTATGTTCAGCAGCGTAATACTTGCCTCACTAGCAAGATTATTAGCATCCTTCAGAGTCTGGTAAATCTTGCTTTCCTTTAGGTCAAACTGGGGTCTCTTTCCCTTCAATTCCTTATCAAATTTCTCCTTGTATTTCACCTAATAGTAAAAAAAAAAAAGTTGGGTTGTTTTCAAAACTAGTTTGCGAAATAAAGGCTTTCAACTAATTTCTGCTTATGAGCCAGTGGAAGAAAAACAGGCACAGCAAACATGGGAATTACATCTTTACTCTTGGGAGTGATTTAACTGCCTGTTTTATTTAAAAGTTCAAATGTAATCACTTCCAAAGAAGAGATCTGTATTTCTCTAAATTGTGCTCTGGAGAAATACAATTTCCTCAAAGACAGGGCATACAATTAAACAAATCACACACGATCTGGGGAAAAAATCATTCTTTATGTACATCAGGGCAATGTTCCAGTAATATCTTTGCATCATTTTATTACATCATTTGATGTCTTATAATTTTAGGAAATATTTCAAATAGAGCCATTAATGCATTTCCATTTAACTATAAAATAAATATTAATAATCTAGAGAAGAATACCATCTAAACCTTAAACACAGCCCTGATGTACAGTATATGAATCATCATGACACCATGTCGGGGACAGGAGTCCATGACGTAGCAAAACAAACAGTACAAAAAACTTCACTTCAGGAGGCTTGTCCACAGCTGAAGATGTTTCTTCTTCATCATGTAAGAATTCCACACAATTGAACATGAAAATCTTTCGAGCACAACATTATCTTATTAGGAATGTGCAAAACATACCAATATTTAATCTGTTCATTTTTAATGTGTTCTTTTTTAATTACAGTGCCTGCTACTATGAAGGGACATAATTTCCAGTCCTTAAATCTTTTGCCCTCCTGTGCAATTATCCAATGTTTATATATAACTAAATGTTGTTTTTCCACTGATGGTTTCTGGCCCAGCAGAAACCATTGTCCCTGTCCCTTTGGAGCTTTGAAAGGAATATCAGATTTGTTTGCTTTTAGGGATTTGCACAGTCCAAATAAACAAAGAAGACGAGAGGGTGCAACACCTGATCCACTCCATGTGCAGTATAAAACAGGTTTATATTTGCCATTCAAGAGACTGTTTTGAAAAGTATTTCTTATGAGATTCAATATTCAAATCTGTACTTCAACATTATACAGTATGCAGCATTTCAGTTTCTATTGCTACTATGGAAAAAAGAGGAAATAATATAAAAAAGTACTCCTGTTATAACACAACCCATTTTGGAATGAGATGGCTAAGACTGTGGTTCCTTTTTCTCCCCTAATGCAATTTGCACAGCCCATGTTGTGTTAACTGTGTTAATGTGGATTCTGGTCTTTATTTCTAGATTTTAGGTTTTAATTCAATTACAATACAATGAAAATGAAATAGCTGAACTTTAATGGTGAACAGTGTTATGAATGATGAACGGGTTTAATCATTTTAGGGGAAAAATGGCGGTACTTATTGTAATGTGATACACAAATAACGAGGTCCCCCACTTGGTGCTTCCCAGCCCCCAAGTTTTATCGGGGTAGCACTGTAAACTGGACACAAAAAGCATCTAAAAAGCTAGGAAAATAAAGGTTTGGGTGCTACTACAAAAACGCCCCAGAAAACGTTTTGCAAGCAAGAAAAAAACAGCTGAAGAAAGTCAGACAAAGCTAGAGCGAGTTAGAAATTGCAGAAAGATATCCAGGTAAAATAGGAAAGCAGGCGAATAAAATCGCAGCTGGACGTCTGTAAAAAAAAAAAGGCTGATCATGTCTCTGAGGAAGGAAAATTTGAAGCCAGGTGTGTGGCTAACATCTAGGAATGGCAAAAACACAGGAACACACTGAGACAGACAAAAGCCAGCAGTCACAGGTCCTCGGGTTCAGGGACCCCTTACATTACTAAGCAGGGCACTCATTTTCTTAAGGTGTCTCATCTGAGGGGTATCAATGGAAGCGGCTCCATGCCTTGCTGGCTCTTCCCTTTCCACCTACGAAGCGCAGCGAGACAGCAGGGTAAGAGCAGCGTTACTGAGCAGGGGACCTGCACACTGGGTTAGCTGGGCTCCGATACAGGATCAGCAGAGAACAGGCAGTTCGCACTTACTGAGCATTAGAAAAAGCAAGATATTAATATGAAAGAGCAGTGAAGTCAGTAAGTGCAATATATGTAAGCCATCAACTGTTTTTAAGTGCTGTATTATCTTTATACTGTATACATGTTATATGAGACAATACAATGCCTAGCGAACAACATGTCAATACATTTTATTCAGAGTGATAGAGTTTACTTCTACTTTTGTCATTGTTATTCACTGATCTAAATGAATATTAATTGATAAATCACCAAGATAGAGTCAGGTATTCATAGATCATTGAATTTCACCAGGAAACTACCACACTGTGACTCTAGAAATGAGAGTGTTCACAGATCACATGAAGTGGATGTACTGTAAAGCATTAACCCCAAAATGACGAAGCAAATGAAGCTCGTTTACCTGGCTGGTGAGCTTGGACACCTCTGTGGCCAGCTCGATGTCGGGACGGTTAACCAGAGACCCTCCGCGACTGGCCTCCTTGCGCGCTTTGTCTCTGTATCCGATCTGTCAACGACACACAGATCACTCTCAGCAGGACGCAGCTGTGGGCAGCACTGACCGCTGTGCAACTTCAAGTCTTTCTGTCTTACGCTATCAATTTCTCTCCACACCAAAGAGGGCTCATTAGTAGAACAACCCCTGAAAAACACAGCTCTGGAGGTAACTGGGATCTGAAGAATGAGAATCTCTAGGGTTGTCCATGGGGTATATTTTGAAGGCCCCTCTCTATACATTGAAATATTTGTTTTTTGAAGATGATTAACATTCAAAGTCAAAGCAATGGTATTTAAATGGCAATTACATCACTGATCAGCTTGGCAGCCTGAGTGGCCTTCCTGATGTCTGGCCGATCAGCCACAGATGTGTAATGCAGCTTAGCCTTGGCCTCCTGCTTGTAGGCAATCTGTTAGCAAAGAAGAGAGAAAAAAATAGATAATTTAAAAACCCCATGACAGTAGAAGTACAAAGGAGCAGGGTGGGAAAACAGGAAATTAGGACAAATACAATTTTACCTCGCCTCTACCTGTTACACCAAGATCAAATAGAAATCTGTTGTGTTGTCTTGGAGCAGACATCGGTTGGTTTCATTGAACTGAAACTCTCTGTAACATGCCACAACACCTTTTTTAGAAAAGCTAGCTCGACATTACATACCCCAGCCAGCTGGGAATTTGAGACCTCAGTGTCTCTCGCTTCGAGCTAAGGGACAAAGGGGTGCTGTAGCGCAGCAAATCTTTCACCAGCAGGTTGTGGGCTCGGGTCCCCACGGCCGACACTGCTGTTGTACCTGCTCGTGAGGGTGGATCTTGGGGACGAGCATCGTCAAGGGGTAATCGCTGTGATGGACGAGTGTCCACCCCCGAGGGCGAGTCACATGCTCTCTGTCCACTGAACGCGACAGTAAACAGGACGAGCTCTTGACCTTCTAGCTAGGCTGTCATGTTTTGAAGCAGGAATCCCTCATTACCGGTGGGTGGAGGCTATGGCTCAATTCAGGCCCTGATAGCATCTTCAGTTCTTAGTTCACATGTTTGCAGAGAGCGTGTGGACGCTAAGACACAAGCACGTACATTGCTCTGGGACTTGGCAACATCCATGGCGTGCTTCACATCCGGGGGCGCCAGCATCAGCGCGTAGTTGGACTTGCCCTTCTCCTTCTCGAACTTCTCTTGGTATTGTTTCTGTGCGGAGGGCAAGAGGTGGCGTCAGTCCGACAACATCAAAGAGCCTGCTAACTGCTAAAAGGCATATAAAACAGATTTCCCCCAGGACACAAATAACCTTGTCTTTTCTGACCGGCAAAGCAGAGAAATGAAATTAACAGTGTTTTGCGCTCTTTTTTCCCTATTTTAGGAAAAAACAGACCACCCAGGTTTAAAAGCATTTCACTGGCAGAATATCTGTGTTCAAAGGTCCTTCAATTTCCTGCAATTTGCAATCGGATTGATGATATCAAATACCACATGCAAGAGCTCTTCTGAAACTTTTCAGTATACACATCGATGTAATAGCTAACCACAGTATATACAGTAAAGAGGCACAAGTACAGTATTTTTGCTTACAGCTCCACAGCATTAAATCAGAGTAATGTCATGAAGAAGACTGCGATTGTTCTGTGCAAGATTCTGTTGGGAAATCTCTACAGCTCACCTTGCTAAGAATCTTTGAGACTTCCTTGACGTGGACTGTATCTCGTGTCTCAGGAAGGGTAGTGAAACTCCCCTGGGGGAGCTCCTTCTTGCTGGCCTCTTTGTATTTGTTCTGGAAATGGAAAACACAGACGCAAATGAGTTATTTTCTAGTGAACGTCAGGACAGGTAAAATAGGTTTGGGGGGGGGGGGGGCAGGAATGGTGCTTAAAAATGAGAAGTGAAAACTTCCCACATGATAGAACGCCACAGTATGATTTTACAATCAAAAGTATTCGGTTTTGAATTATTGTCAAATTTCATGCTCTGTCCCCTTCTCTACACATGTAGTAATAATCATAATAATAACAATAATAATAATCTTTTTATATAGCACTTTGAAAAGTACTTTACAGTAAGAACAAAGAACAAGGAAGGGAGATAAAGTTAGCACACTTAAAAACAAGGGTTTGGAATGCAGTGGATTCGAAAATGCAAAGGGGCAGACACAGATGTCCATTTAATACACGCCTTTCTGAAGAACAATTAATTAAATCCCCCCCCCCTCTGAACCCCCGCTAGCAGACACACAATGAGGCAGGTTTCCCACCTCAGAGACCAGAGAGGCCATTGACTTGGCATGGAGGATCTGAGGGGTGTCTGAAACCACCTGGTATGTCCCCTTAGCCTGCTCATACTTCTCCTTGTATTTCACCTGTAAAGAATGTGAGGCATAAGAAAAATGTTTAATGACACATATTGTTTAGAAGCACAACGATTTCTCCAGCACCACAGGCCTCACTCAACAACACAACAAACAATTTCATTGAATAAGCACATGGGCTCAATTTAGAAAAAAAGCTAAAGTTTACATATTGAAATACAGGAATATGATAATACCCTATGTCCTGTTTATCCTTTCCCAAATATTTATGTCTTGGCATTATGCTATGTCTACGATACTCTCTTCCTTGTTTTATATGTAGTAAAACAGACTGAAAAAAACAAAAGTTGGATTGAACTCAATGCTGCTTTTACCAGCTATTTCCAGTAAAGCCATGCACTGTATTATTGTTCAGCTGTTCCAAAACCTTCAGCTGGTGTCCAGTAAGGCGATCTGACACCAAGCACCAGTGAGAGCACTGGACTGGGGATTTGTCTGGTGTGTGTACTTACAGCACTGGCCATTTCACTGCCCTTCTTCGCGAGAGTCAGGTATTTGTCTTCAGTCACAGACAGTTTGCAGCCCTTCAGCATCTCTCTGTCGTACTTGTAATCCACCTGAGGGATACGGGAGGATGCGGTGAGGGAAGAATCACATAATGTCATCTTTGTGATCTGTAAAAAACCCTCTCACTAGAAGACTTGGCTAATTTGGGTTTATAATACAGCTGCGGCGGAAGATATTTTATATGAACATTTAGCATTTTTCAAAAGAGTTTTTCTACTACAAACACATTGCATGATAGTGCACATCAGCGTTACCAGCATGAAGCCCGATCTGGACAGACACTAAGCAGGGCAGAGCCTGGTTGGCTTCAGACATATAGACTGTAGGTGATGCTCTTCTCTCTGGATAAGAATGGATAAACTAATGCCACAGCATGGTAATCAGGAACACGCGGCCAAATTCCTCTTTCGGGTTTCATAACCTATTATACCTAAATCTCCCCCTTAATTCAATTGGTGAAGATGTCACTTCTCCATCTGATCTGCTGTATAGTTCCACAACCGTATAGTATGTACAGAAGCAATTGTACATTCAGTGGGTCTGTTCAAATTAAGAGACTTGAGATCCTTCGGAATGAAAACTGCTATACAAACAAGTAGTTGTTTTCACATAGGGTAGTTATTTGTATTACAGATTACAAGTTGCCACTGTTGTTTTCAAATGCACTTAATGCCTTGAAGGAAATAAAGGAAATAATCTTATTCCCTTAAAAGACTACAGTACGAAAAATTAAAGATTGGCTGTCAAACCTCAGGACTGTTTAACAAAAAAGCACATGGGAAAATCTACTAAGCACACGACCTGAAAACTAGTGCATTAGTATTTTAATCCCTGCTGCTGCAGATACTCACATCACTCTGTTGCTGGGACGTCTTCACAGCATGAATAAAGTCAGGTCTGTCCACAGTCCAGATCCACTTGGCTTTGGTAGCTTCATATTTCTTCTTATAGTCCAGCTTGAGAGGAAAAAAAGATGACACGTGAAGCATCTCTCCTGGGAGAAATGTTCAGAATGTACTTTTTTTCTAAAAGACTTACATTGGTGATGTTCTTGTAGGCCTCCTTGGCAGCCCTGATCTCATGGGCGTCTGGAGCGATTGTGATGTGAGCTTTGTTCTTTTCATACTCCTCCTTGTACTTCAGCTGGTGGGAAAGAAAGGATGTCATTACAAGGCTGCACATGACCGAGCTCCTGAGAAGCTCCCGAGAGCCAGTAAAGACAGTGGGAGCTCTGTGTGACAGGCATCACCATTTTAGATTTGTACTGTATTTAGCTGACACTCTGTCTCTTTTCACAGTCCCATAAGGGTGCATATCTTTAGCAGGACACTGACACCCAGCACCTTCAGGGCACCTTTAAGCTTACAGGGATGTAAGAATGATCTATGCAACCCTGCGCTGACAGGCATGAATAACTGAACCTTTTTAGTCTTTAACAGTGAAGACAATGGGGGGAATTAGTCCAAGAGTTCAAAATCCTCCAAAGGTAAATCCTCAACTTTTTTCCTAATATAAACAGTGAAACACAACCCAGTTGTAAAACTGAGAACTGAAGGCACTTCTTCACCCAGATGGTTCTGGGAGTGTGGAAGAAGCTACCCAGCTGTGTTACTGAAGTCGACATCCTGGTTTCTTTCAAGAAACAACAAAGAGGTGGAGGTGATCCCCGGTGGATCAATGAGCTACTAACCTACCAAACAGGCTAGATGGACTGAATTGCCTCCACTGGTTGTAAACATCCATGTTTCTCATGCATGCTAATTCTCCTCTATGGCACCAGACAGCTCACGGCCTGTCAAGATGCCAACAGCTTGATAGTTTTCATCACAGGAGAGAGCATTCTCTCTAGAGTTCTCTTATTCTTCTTATTCTAGCTAGGAGTTGTACAGTAGATGAATAACAAAGTCAAACTGTGGGAGTGTGAAATAGAAAGGAGAAACATTAGGACTGGAATATTTTTGAATGTCAGAATGACTTGAAGAAAAAAATGCACTAATGGAACCAATTCAATAAAAATTGACATCACAAGCTCTAATGGGCACAGCCCAAGAACCATCTGTACTGGGGTCTGGTCCTGTTACCTGACTGAGTCTCTCCTTGACCTTCTTCATGTGCTGAAGGTGAGGGGTGTCGTGGCCCAGAGTGTATGCTTTGGCCTTGGTCTTGTTGTATTCCATCTTGTAGACGATCTGAAAGGGGAAAAACAATCTGGTTCAATTCAGAAGATCTTTTTTTACGTAGAAAGCGCTGCAGTGTTTTGATACGGCACTTACCATGAGGAAGTGCACTACGAAATTGAAGTAATAACTCTAAACTATTAATTCACTCAGCATATATATACACAAAACTTCCTAAAATTTGTACACATTCATACAGCTTTGCATTTTACAGAAGCAATCCAAATTATGGGCACTGGTTGAGGGTACACTGCTGTTGCTCCTCTCAAGATTTGACGCACAAACATCCAGTAACGAATATACAGTATGAGCTCCTTGCCACAAATTCACACTGCTGCCTAGTGAAAAGTAGATGAGTGACTTTCCTAAGCCAATTTAAAGAGAAGGCATGCAGTGTACACTTTGCATTTATCACCGCATTATGATGCCAACGCCAAGTCTAAAAGTACCATCTTTATCAATTGATCAAATCAACAGCAGTCCCAACTTCCACTGAACAGGTACTATCTGACATATGGTACACTCTCTAACAGTGTTCGTGTCTTATTTGGGACTGCTCTCTAGTTTCATATCGGTCCATTCTGTAATTGCAGAAATACAGAACAAAGTATATCTTCTCACTCACATCGCTGATCATCTTTTTGGTGTATTTGTGCTTGCGGTTTTCGGGAGTGTCCAGCACGGTGGTGTACTTGTCTTTTTCCTTCTCATAACTCTGCTTGTATCTCCACTGGCAAAACACAATAAAACAGAGATGAGACAACAGTAACATGAGGCACTATTAACCAAGTACATTCTAACTGAGTGAAAGTTAGTGTTTTGCCTCATAGTCACTATTGGGAAACTACTACTCTTTAATAAAATAAATATAAAATGTATATTTATCCACCCATCCACTTCTCAGTCAGCCTACAACAGAAATTAATATTATATAACTTATAAATTAAACAGTAAAGAAAGTGGTGGGTGACAAACTGTTTTCTGTGAACTTCGAGGCTAAAAAAAAGTCTGATTGGAGAAGAGACTTAAAAGGCACTTGTATAATATGATCCCACTTCTCAAATTAGTGAGACAACTCTGTTTTCCTTTACACAACTGCCTGCAGCCTTGAAGCAAAACCAGAATTTTTCATTAGAATGACCTTTGGTTCAAATCAGTGATTGGTTGAGTTACAGTGCAAGCACAAACAATATCCTCCGGTTTCACTCAAGTACTGTTTAAAATGATTTATTTTAACAGTAATTTAATTTTAACTTACCATAAAATCACTCATGCATGCTCTAAACATACATTTCACAGTGAAAAAAATCAAGAAAGCATAACAAACTCAAGTCAAGCAACATCCAAATGTACCACACTAGTAACACGGACTCAGGACATGAAAACACTGCAGGCAAGTGATCATTTGATGTGCAGGTTAAGGATTGCAATGTTCTTACACAATGTTTTTCCTTAGTGCAATAATTAAAGTTGAATATCGCAAGCAGCTGCTATGGAGCTCGTGGTTGCACATTAGTTTTACACGGCTCATAAATTCTGGACTGCATTTATAATCCAAATAAAACACATTTCCATTACATAACAAATAAAACTAGGTTGTGACTACTTGTGTGTAGCAGTGTTTACAACTTGCATACAGGCACAATCAGGAAAAGCTACAGAAAAATGGGGATTCTTCTAATCAGGAAAGGAAGGACAAGAGGGGATTGTGGAAGAAAGGAGGGGTAGCAACTGGTAGAGTTTAAGAGAGGAAACA